CCAGGGGAAGGTGCCTGTGAGGAGGGCGAAGAGGAGGACGCCGAAGGCCCAGGAGTCCAGGCTGGGCTCCAGGCGCAGCGTCTCCGCCTCGCGCAGGTGGCACAGCTCAGGTGCGGCATAGGGGGCGTGGCCCGAGCCGCAGGTGGGCCCCACCTGCCAGCCCATGACGCGGGTGAGGCCGAAGTCGCCCAGTTTGACCAGTTGGCACTGGGGGTCGAAGGCCAGCACGTTGTCCAGTTTCACGTCTCGGTGCACCAGGGCATGGCCGTGCAGGTAATCCAGGGCCGCGCCCACCTGGGTGGCCACGCGCTTCACCTGCGGCTCAGGAAGGCCCACCTGAGGAGGGGGGGACACGCCTGGTGGGACACATGGTCACCCAATGTCACCTGGGGTCACCTGAGGTCACCTATGGTCACCTAGAGTCATCATTTGGGTCACCTGTGGGGTCACTTGTGAGTGCAGGGATTCACCTGGGACTCAGGGAGACTCACCTGGGGAGGGGGGGACACACCTGGGGTCACCTGGAGATACCTGGGGTCACCTGGTGTCACCTTGGGTCACCTGTGGGGTCACCTATGAGTGCAGGGGTTCACCTTGTTCTCGGGGAGCCCGCAAAGGTCCCAGACAGGTGCATCCCTAACACCTGTCCATCCTTCCCCCTCACACCTGTCCCCCCCCAAACACACCTGTGCCCACTCCGGACACATCTGAGCACTCACCCCAGGTGTGAGCAGCCCGCCCAGGTGAGTCTCCGCACACCTGAGCACTCACCCCAGGTGTGAGCAGCCCACACAGGTCCCCGGCAGGTGCGTGTTCCTGCGCGAAGCCGAAGTGGGTGGGGGTCTCGAAGGCCAGGGGCAGCACCTGCAGGCAGGTGAGCTGCCCCCGCAGGCACAGGTGAGTGCAGAACTCCCGCAGGAAGCCCCACCTGCCCGTCCGGTCCTTCCGCAGCAGCTTCAGCACCACCGGCGCACCTGGGTAAGGGTGGGGACACACCTGGGCACACCTGGGGATGGGTTATACCCCCAGAGACACACCTGGGCACACCTGGGTACACCTGGGGATGGGTTATACCTCTTATAGACACACCTGGGCACACCTGGGGGCACCTGGGCACACCTGGGGACAGGTTACCATAGACCCACCTCATAGACCAC